TGTCTCTGATTAGTCTCACTGGTGTCACCTGGTGCCCTGGTGTATATATACCTCCCTCCTTCACTCTGTCCTGGTTTGATCATTGACCTGTTGCTGTTCGTGAGTTTCCTGTTCTGTGTTTCCTAGTTTTCTGTGATACAAAGAGAATTCCATGCCTTTTTTTCTCTCTTTTTGTTTTGTTTTTTAACCAAAAAAACCAATGTTTTCTTGTTTCGCAAAGTTTGAGTTAGAGTTAACCAGCGTCAAGGGTTAAAAATTCTGCTTAAATGTAAGGATTTCCTGCCTCTGTATTTCTTTTAAAATATTTCTGGCGTGCCGGGCGGGTTTTTTTTTTTTTTTTGGTTTTTTTTTGTCCTGTTTTGTTCATTCGCTCTTTCTTAATAAACCCCACTACACCTGAAGAAAGTCTCCCTGGTATCACATTCAGGTCCTGCCTGCTTCCACGATGTCGACATGTAACAGAAAGTTACTGGCATTATCAACTGATTTTAGCTTAATTATGTAATATCGATAAGAATCGTGAGCAGTTTTTCCTTCAGTAATGAAAACCTGACATTGCAATGTCTGGGTTTTGTAAAATGATGTGTGACATTGACATAGTTTTGAAGTGAATGTGAAATTTTGTCATTGTGACACGGCTGCGTATATCGGTATCGATTGATATCGGAAGTGTTCGGACAATATCGGCATATCGTAAATGGGCAAAAAGTTCATGTCAGACATTCCTATTAGATTTTTTAAATTTTTTGCAGCCTATTTGTTCGATCTGTCCTAAAAAATAAACTCCAAGTTAAGTTAAAAAAAAGGATATGGTTTAACCATAAACTGCTCAGAGCCCGGCGACAGACTCCATCTCTCTGTAATCGACCCAACACTGAGAGAAAAAACCGTCCAGACCGACGTGGAGGTGAGTGAAGCTGAGCAGCGGCCCACGTGTTGCACCAGTTCCTGGAGTGCAGCAGGAAACAAAAGCAGAGACTAGGCCTGAAGTGAATTCAGGAAAAATAAAATAGCAGGTTAAAAAAATTCTGTTCTTGGGTCCAGATCAAAGGACAGAAAGGAAGAAAATCCTGGAGTCTCATCACAGAGATGTTTTCACACAGAGCTCCACTAAATCAGTGCAGTTAATCTGTGATCTCTGCCTCTGAAGGGGAGAAGCAAGGAAGAAGGATTGATCCATTTGAAGCAGTGGTGGAAAAAGCTCTTCAATAAATGTGTGCGTGTGTGTGTGTGTGTGTTGTTGGATGTCACACGTGTGTGTGTTGATATACTAGAAATAGGCCTTTGCTTGTAGCAAAACACCCCGCAGACATAAATTACACCACCTATCTGATACCACAGGGCCTCGTTGTTAGGAATTGTCAAACAGTTCATCTGAAGATAAATTGGTGGCTAGTTTGATTAACTTAAATTTAGGTTATATTTTTGAAATCTTTCAGGATTTTATGTACAGTCCAGCTTCGTTTTGGTTCCTTTTTTTTCTTTCTTTTTTTTTACTCCTCAACACATCTATTAACTCTTTTCAAAGCAGGAATCACAGTCTTGTTTCGCTCTGTATCGTCGTTACTTCACTGAAATGAAACCAATTCCGGGTGAATTTATTGACATGAACGGACGGTTACAAATAAACAGTGCAACACATTTTTAACGCTTCACATTGTTTCATTGGTTGTTAAAGTCCGGTTAGCAGTACTGGTTTGGGACCAGCGTCGAGTCTTTGGGGCCGGGGCTGAAATTGCTGCAGCTCTCACATGAACATAAAACCTAGAAGTCTGATAGGAACAATTTTATTATCAGTTTTTCCCAAACTCTGTAGTTGATTTGTGATCATTGACACCAACATTTCAAACATGTGTTTCAAGTGTTTCAAAACTAAATGTTTTTGCAAAACAAACACTTAGATTTTGCACTTAAATTTTAAATCCCAAAATCATGTGAATAAACGGTTGTCCAGTGAACACATCACAGCCGTGGTTAGATAACGTTTTCACACAATAAATAAAGTTTTGTTTTTAAACACAAATTACTTGGGACAACTATTTCAATCAAAGTGGAAATTAATTAAAACGGCACACATTCAGTGTGCTCAAGGATCGGAGGGAGGTTCATTAGTGAGCAAAAGTGAAATTTGTCCAAGGCAGTAAAATTTTCCATCGGAAACGATCATTAATTTTATTTGCTCCAGAAATAAAACACATCCTGTTTTTCCCCGGTTCAGACTCGGGGCCTTGTTCACCGTTTGTCTTCTCTTCTGAGACGCTGTTTTTTATTCAGTAATGGCCTGATTTACAGAGGAGTTTAAAAGTGGATATGAAGTATATTCCTTCATATACGTAGATACAAAAATTCATATTAAATCAGTGGTTATTTTTAAATATCTGTTAGTGTAAAATAGGGGTGTCAAACTCATTTTCACCAGGAGGGGGGCACATTAACAGTACAGTTCCCCTCAAAGGTCTTTATTAAGGGATTTTTAAACTCTTACGGGCCATATAAACTGACATGGCCGACCCGATTTGGCCCCGGGGCCTTGAGTTTGACACGTGGTGTAAAGGTACATGGATTATTTTTGTCACTAACATGTCATCACAAAGTCACCTGTTTTTCCGACCTTTGCGTCTGTGTCACTGCTCACATTAAGAACTGCTCCGTCTGGAGTCCCACTCCTGTTGCCCTGCAGTGGCCCATGTGGGACTCTTAACCCGCTCAAGCGGCATCGCCCACTTGAGCGAATGTGCGTCCCCGTGGCGAGCCCGTCTTCCTTCACACCTCATTTGCCCGTTCCCACTCCTAATTACAAGGTTTTCTGGAGAGTTCCTGCTTGGAGAGGAGTAAATCCTGAAAACCCTCCAACACCATGTCATCGATGAGCAACAAGCTGTCACAGCTGCCTCCTCTGCTGCACGCTAACAGGTACTGCACGCCTGACACTCCAACACTGAGGAGGGGGGGGGGGGGGGGGGGGTGACAAACACACCAATCGGTGTATGACTGTGTCGCAAACTGAGGTGATTAACAAGAAGACGGAGCGCCAGGGCTGTTGTTATGCCCCCTGGTGGTCGTTCTCCTTCTCCTTCTGTCCTTAACCTCCCTCCAACATTTATGTGAATATTCTTCTGACAGATGGAGGGATAATGGTCTGTCCAGAACCCATGGTAACATCACTCCTCCTCTGATCTCCTCCTTCACCTCCTCCTCTTCCTCCTCCTCTTCCTCCTCTCTAACTCTAACCTCACACCTACTGAGGAGCAGTCACAGACTCCTTCCAGGTCTGGTTTAGGAGACCAGAAATGTGTAGCTGTGTGTGCACTTCTGGTTTATGTATAATTGTGGGGACAGTTTTTTTAATGACATTCTTGTACTGACACTTTGTCCTTGTGGGGACATTCTGCCTGTCCCACAAGAGAACATTGAGGTTGAAGGTTTAGTTTGGAGAGATGGAGTCAGGATTAAGATTAGGAAAATATTTGTATTAGTTGAGTTTTTAGTAAAAGTCCAGGATTTATTGACGTCTTCACTGGAGGTAAACAGAAATAAAAACCATAAAACGACAGAGCTGTGAGGTTTCTATCTCTGTGTCCTGGACAGACAGACGTCTCACCTGTCCTCAGTCCAGTCCCTCCCCCCGCTTCCCCCCGGACGTCTACATTTCCGTTTATTTCTCCTTCCTCAGACTGAAGTCAGAGAAATGTTTGCTCTCAGACCAAAACACTTCCAGCTTTAACACCAGACTTATCTCGGCTCTGCCAGGCGTGCTCATGAGCACTTAACCTTGCAGTGAACGCAACCCATCATCATCACCACACAAAAGGAAAGCCACCTTTGTCTCCACCCGACACTGCTCACAGCACACCCCCGCCCAGCCTCCACCCAATCGACGCACTGTCCTTCAACAGGGAGACGCTCAGGTCTTTGACTCAGGTTTTTGACTCAGGTCTTTGACTCAGGTCTTTGACTCAGGTCTGCAGACATGGATTTTTTGTCTTAAAATGATCTTCATCAAAATGCAAAAACATCTTTTTTAGTTATAGATTTTCCAGTGTTTGCGACAGAAAAGATAAATGAGAAACTGTTCTCAGATTTCTCTAACTCCGCCCACACGTTCCCCTCGGTGTTTTTATGTTAAAGTCTTGTCGCCGTCAGACCAGAATATTAGATCCCGGCGACTCCTCTGTCTCAGCTCGGTGACCTCTCACCTTTGGGCCTGAGTTTCCTCAGGTGATGTCAACAGTGAATGCCGACGTGAATCATCGGTGAAAAACAACGTCTGATCGGACATTTGAAGCCGACACTGACTGAGCATAAATAACATCGTCGATGGCCTTGTGTCCTGTCCAACCACAGCAGTTGGACGCCGGTTTTCAAGTGTGTGTGTGTGTGTGTGTGGGTGGAGGTGGGTGGAGGTGAACATGGCTGCAAGGCTGCGTCTCCCCTGTTGAGTCCCAGCCATGAGCTGTGAACCAGCTCCTTTGACCATCATGGCCCGTGGCCTTACCCTTTCCTGAAACCTGAGTGACATTTCCAAACAGGCCAGGAACACCAACGCACACACACACACACACACACACGTTAAGCCCACCCCTGCTTCTGAAGCCCACCTGTGACTGTGAAAGTGAGGGCTCTGAAATACCAGGACTCCTGGTGGTGAGTTTGTTCTTATGCATCTGAAATTATGACTTTAAGTTGGAAATCAAAACATCTGCTGATGTGTGTGAACAGACACTCACAGACACACACACACAGAAGAATTCAGAAAACAAAAAGGCCAGAATTAACTAAATTCCAAGAAGAGTGCAGCGACTGGATCGTGCCAGAATTAACTAAATTCCAAGAAGAATGCAGCGACTGGATCGACTCTCACACACATCCTCCCCCTCTCATGATTCATCTGTTTTTTTCTTCCCCATATCTGTGCCTTCCCATGGCCACCACAGACCTGTCTTATCATGTTTCTCCATGATAAGGGAGCTTAATGGAACGCTGACAATCAGTGCACTCACCCTGCCAACTAGAATCGGATCGGGTCCAGAAAATTCTTCCAGCACAAACATTTGATTCCAGACCCATCCTCTCTTGGCGCGGCTCAGTAATCTCTGTCCTTCGAGGAGACCGCTGGTCAGGGCCGCCGACCCTCCCATGTGTGTACTTTTGGACTGTAGTACAGTAAGTGTGGCAGACACGGAGGGAACGCAAGTAATCCACACCAGCAGCGAGAACATCCACAGATCCACGGGCATCTCCTCGGACCACTTTGGCATCCTGTAGTTGAAGGTTGTGTTTTGTTTATTTGGTTGTAGTGTCCGACCCTCCGCAGACGGACGGATCCTCGGGCGCGGAGAAAAGGTTAGTGGTGTCCTCCTCCGACGGCACAGCCTGCATTCATGGTGTGATAAAGGTCACCGGCGTCGTATCCTTCCATAGCGTTGGGTGAGGAGCTGAGGCGCTCGGCACAGCATCCAGTTGGTGTTATTCTGAGAGGAAGACCTGGGAGAGAGCAATCACAGTTTGTTAGCTGCCTCTAAATCCTGTCGGGGTGGGAGGCGGTTGGGGGGGGTGGAGGGGTGACAAAACAACAAAGAAATAATAAAAAAAAAGAGTCCAGAAAACATTTGGACTAATCAGACAACAGTCAGTTTGGAGCTGTGGCCCGCAAAGCAGAAAATGAAGATTTTTTTTTTTAAGGATGCTCCGAAGCCGTCGTCATAACAAACGATTGTTGTGCAGCAGCTGTGACGTGACATTCTGATCTCCTCCTCAGGTTATTTTGCAACAGCCCAGGAACAAATCATTTGGACTGTGGTGTGAAACCAAATTGAAAAGTCTGCTACCTGCAGTCTGGTGTTTTTAAGATGAGATGAGTGGGAAAAATTGGACTGAAAAAAAGTCCTGCAATGATTATTTTTAAAAGACTGGGACTGAATTCAGAAGCACAAGAACTGTGAAGGTGTTTCAGTCTTTGTCTACGATGCTCACAAATTAAAAACTGCGGTAAATATATATATATATATAAATGACAAATGACATCGTTTTTTAGCAGCTCTTAAAAAATGATATTGTAATAATTTCCTTTTTGAAAAAAAAAAAAGAAAACCCTTCGAGCTCATTGAAATTCTGTCCTTTAATTAAAAACGCCGTTTCCGTCCTCCTCACATCTGTGGTTTTACTGTGGAGCGCAGTGTTCAACAGAATGAAAAATAAATCACAGACAAGACTGAGATTAAAACTGAATGTTAATTACAAACCAGACAGCGCTGGATTAGAGTTAAAACCTAATCTGACAACCTGGCTGGATTTTAAACATTTCGTCCAACAACTTTTTGTTATTTTATCCCTCTCTCAGCTCGTCTCTGTGGAATATATGCAAAGTAGAGTCGAGTATTTGAAGTAAAATGATCAGCGAAGTCTGCGGTCGTTCGGCAGCTGTAACATCGTCACGGTATCAACGGCAGACAGATCCGAGTCACTGACCTTCTCTAACTGTAGGAGCCGACCCGAGGACAAAATGGCTCTTAATTAATTATTGAATCAATTAATATAATCATCGTCGTGTTTGAATTGTGAGTCAAATCAATGCGTGATTGTTTTGTCTTCAATCAAAATCGTTCTGTAAACTAAAATGGAAATCCTGTGATATTTGTGCGTGCGAGCGATTTCAGCACCACAGGGAGAAGAGGCAGCTCCTCCACGGAGCCCCGCAGCTCCAACCGCAGCTGTCCGTGGTACAGACCCCGCTGGAGCAACTGGTTAGAATTTGAAGTGAAATGAAAACATGAAATCCGACAGGTTTGACGCTGCCACTTGTTATCATGTGTGTAGCTTTACAGAGGGACGGAAGTGTGTGTCCGTGACGCCTCCAGGTGTCAGTTCGTGCCGTCACACGGTCTCACAGCCTCCGACGTCGTCCTGCGGAGCCGCTGGAAACAGACACAGACACGAGACGCAGAATAACTACGTACCGGAGGCTCGGGGCGCTGAACGCGTACGCGCGCCGGCAGAGTTAAGTTAAATTGGGGATAAAGCCTAAGTGACGGGGGGGTTCGATGGCGCTCTTACCCACGGCTCCGCTCCCGCATACGCGCCGGGGAAGACACACTGTAGCTCCGCGACCGTTAAAGGGGACGTCCCGTTTTTACCGCCTCATAAAACTGTTCAGCAGCCAGACCTGCAGGGTTCTTATATCACACTGACAGGATGTACTTACTGGTAGGATCTGCTCCGTGCTTGGCTCCTGCATCATTTCTCTCTGCCTTCCTTTCCTTATCACAAACACCAAGGAAGAGGAGAGAGAAGAAAAATAATAATAATAATAAAAATAAAAAAAAACTCCACTGGCTTCGGCTGACGAAAGCCTGAAAGTGAGAGAAAACGGCTTTAAATCCTCCCTGCAGCTCTTCAGTGCCGGTGTCAGTGTGGAGGGTTAAGTTTGCTGCTCCGACAGGATTGCTGTCCAACTGGAAAAGTGAGGAGGAGATGGAGGAGAGCTGCGCGGTGGTGAGGAGAGCCTGCCTCCACGGCGCTGATTGGGTTGATAAGGAGCCGGTTCAACAGGCGCGTGAATTAATGCGTGATGCTCCGCACCAGCACCGCGGTGCAGCGGTGATTGTCTCACTCCGTCACCGCGATATATGTTACAGAGGTGGTACCGGGATATTATCGTGATGTCACTAATATATATATATATATATGGAGACATATATGTCTATATATGTCCATATATTTATACATACATACACACATATAAACATATATGCATATATATAAATATATGTGTAAATATATACATTTATGTATATAAATATATGTGTGTATATATTTATCTATATATTTACACATTTGGAACTGTATTAATCGTATTCGTCGACATTCTTAAATATGTAAAAAATACATATATATGTCACGGTTGTCAATGTCACAGTAAATTCGTAATTTACTGTGGGTTTACGTCACGATTAGTCACGATTAATTGAGATACATCTAGATTATCCATCATCTTCCGCTTATCCAGGGCTGGGTGGCAGACACATAAATATATGTATATATTTACATATATGTGTGTGTATATATAGTACAGAGGTGTTACATAGATGTTACACACATAGATATATATTGCAATGTTTTCTTTTCTTTTTTTTTCTTCTCATTTAAACAATTCCTTTTCTTCGGCCAGGATCACGTGTGCCTGAATTTTATTTTAAAATATATTTTCTTTTCTCTCACAAAACACACAGACTTTGTGAAGACTTTTCATGGTTAAAATACATTTCTTTTCCTCTTTTTCCTTTTTTTAAAAAAAAACAACAATTTTGTTTGTTAGCCGTGACTTCATTTGTTGTTTTCCAGACTTCTTCTATACTGCCCCCTAGCCCTAAAGGGCTGCTGTTCAGCCTCCACATCAACACTATGTATTTAACTCTTCTCTGAACTGTATTTCAAACTCTACCGTAATTGAATAATAGAAATAAAATCCCCGGTCAGTGTCAATTCTTCTAAGATACAGTTGCCTTACTGTGAACACCCCCAGGTTATAGCATCATGTCCCCCACTTTGGTCTGCCCCTCACTTTGGGAACCACCCATCCCAGGTTAAGCGACACTCATACAGAGAGAGAGAGAGATAAATCCTGTGTTTCTTCTGTGTTTTCTGATCTCTTCATCCAACCAGAACCAGTTATTGATAACTACCGACTCAGCAGCTCCACAGCGCGGCCCTGTTGGTTTAACAGGAAGAGAAAACACTTGCACTGCGTCTGTCCCGTGTCCTCCTCGTCCTCCTCTGCTGACTCCTGTATGGATTTGTTAGATTGTATTCTTGACATGTTCGTGGATGAAGGAGGAACCGCAGTGATAAAAACGACAAGCAGCCGAGAAAGTCTGACACAGGTCTTATTAAGGCACTTATTGAAAAGGTCATGTTCATCTATCCACAGCTGAGTGTGTCTGCCTGCAGTGTGGCAGCAGACAGGCACGGAGCCCTCTAGTGTTTGTATGGGGACATGGCAGCAGCAGCAGCAGAAGTAAAAGAACAAAAAACAACAAACAGGCTTTTTTGAGGATGAGGAGCAGGTTGTTGATGTAAAAAAAAGGTTTGTAACAGTGATCAGGATGATTAACTGTTCAGATATAACACACACACACACACACACACACACACCTGTCCTTCCTTTATTCAAGTGATGTCATCATCTCACTCAGGATCAAGGTGTTTAATCAACTTTTTTTTTTGTTGTTGTTTTTTTTATTAAATAAATGTTGGTTGAGATCTGAGGCAGTGAATTATCATCCTGGTGAAGTTAAAGAACGAAAATATTTATTTTTCTAATAATGTCTACTACATTCACAGATTTACTGCAGTACAATTGCAGCTGTTATATTCAATATTTGAAGATTTTTGGGATCCTATAATCTGCTCTGTTGTGGGCTGGTCCCAGGACTGTTGTAGCTAACGTTAGCTCTGGTGTCTGTACCAGGACTTTTGTAGCTAACGTTAGCTCTGGAGTCTGTACCAGGACTGTTGTAGCTAACGTTAGCTCTGGTGTCTGTCCCAGGACTGTTGTAGCTACCGTTAGCTCTGGTGTCTGTACCAGGGCTGTTGTAGCTAACGTTCGCTCGGGTGTCTGTACCAGGACTGTTGTGGCTAATGCTAATGACTGTATACAACCATGATTTTATCAAAGCTCACAATGACCTTTGATAAAAGAACAACAATAAGAGTTCCGTCCAACAAGACAACTGACACGGTCTTGTCCTTCACCAGACGTCTTCTCTCCTGTGTCATCAATCATTTGCAGCTTCTAAACAAATCTCACATGTCAGTGTCTTCCATGGTCTCTGGACATGAGCGGGAAAATGTCCAATCATTAACTAACTACTGACATCACACGGGGTCGTCAGTGAGTTCTCGGTGAGAATTCTCCAGCCATCTTTCCAAGAAGCTTCTGCCTCATTATACAGCAGCATGTAAATGGTTTCACTGCTTAATGTAAATGATGAGAAGACTTCAGTGACAGACAGCTACACACACACACACACACACACACACAGTTTAATGTATTGAAACAGTGGAGAGAAATGTGTTTTCTGGAGCTGCTTAATGCTAAACTGAGAAATGAAAAGCACATAAAAGTCAGCTCCTGACGTGCTCTGATTATTTTATAGACCTCTGCTCCGTCTCACACTGATGCAGGACATCATCTGACCAGAGTGAATGCTGGGATACATGCTTAATGCACGTTGTTATTTGGTGGAAAAAAAAAATGTGTGTGGGCAACACTGTTGTTAATAGCACTCTGTTCTAAAGAAGGATAAAAGCTCCATTAACAGCAGGTGACTTAAAATACCAAATCACTTCAAAGTCATTATCTATGAGAGGGGCTGCGTTTAAAAGGGAAGGTTCCCGCTCTAAATTGGTGATTAATTTCACTGGCTTGGCCCCTGCCTCCCTGCAAAATATCAGATGGCTCGCTGAGAAGCAAAGTAAGTGAAGGGGAAAGGGTCTTTAGAACCTCCGCATCCTCAATCAATCATTAGCCGCTGCTTTGTCAGTGGTATTAATCACCGAGTGATAGCAGCGCGAGCGCCGCACATTTACATGTACGGCTCTGGAAGAACACTCACCGCCACAGGCACGGCTGACTTCAGACGACTGGATGACATTTTCTTTTCAGCCAGACACCGGAAATATGATTGTAATTTTATACACATTTGGTCAGTAACAAGTACGGATGTCCGATAATATCGACCGACCGATTTTATCGGCCCAACATTAGCATATTATATACCATCTGAAAAAATTGTTATAGATTTTTCCGATAAATATATACCATCTGAAAAAATTGTTATAGTTTTTTCCTCTGATACTGAAAACCCGATAAAGCAAAGGCAGGGTTTCGCCAAATGATGTATGCCCCTAAAAATAGTTTTGGGGATGAACGACTGTATATTAAAGTGAAAGTCACTAGATGGCAGCATTGCAGCTCATTTAATTAATATCATTCTCATACAGTGGGTTGTACAGATAAATAAATAAAAGTAACCAAAGTAGTCAGCCTCACTGACTGTCTCCCCCTAGTGTTGTTAAAGATGCTGACACACCTCTGGTGCCTCAAGTGGACAAAGAGGGAAACGCTTGTTTTGAGACGTTTCCAGATTTTTGGAAAGATTATGAAACAAAGACTTTTGTGAATTTCAGGCCCAGACGGACGGACTGTTGCTGCAGCGACAGTATGTCTGTATCTTTTGAAGACAGTGACCGCGTGGATCCGATCTGTTTCCCTCCAGTGAACGTCAGTCAGCGTTTGATCGTGCCTGGCGATCAACACACATATTTACACGCTGACGGTGTTTAATGTCCACAGGTGAAAGTCATTTCTCACCGCCGCGTTGAACAAACAGTGGAACTGATGGGACAGATGTTGGCACGGTGCCCCCTATGATCAGGAGACTGAAACTACAGTAGTTTCCCTTCAGTCATAAACATGTTTGACTAAGGACTGGCCCGCTGCCAAAGGGATCGAGGCGTGAGAACTGTGACGACTGTGGATCCAGTTCTGACTGAACGTCAGCTCCGGTGCAGATCGACTGCAGGAGTCAGACTTTTCTTCTTCTTCTTCTTCTTCTTCTTCTTCTTCTTTGTCTTTATCTCATTCTGCTGAGTAAGCACTTCAACAGCGGTCAAAGAACAAGATATTCCTCTGGCGTTTAGATGCTGACGGCTCGGCAAATACTCTTTGTTCTTCGTCATCCAGGCCGACTCTAATACGTTTGACGGTATAACATTAACAGCACAGTTGAATTCCTCGACTGCTAACTTTAATTTGGCTCCTTCAGAACCTCGCCGGCTAATTTGCAAGGAAGCGATGTTTTAAAAAATATGTCCCACGACCTCCGCTGAATAGTTTAAATGTCAAAATATGCAAATTTCTTCAAACCATTTTTTGAATTACAAACCGCTGCATTTGAAATGAACCTTAAAGCTGTAGTAGCAGGAATATTTCTGACAAACTTCTCACAGAATCATTTTAATTAATATTCCAGTCTGACAGGAAGCGTTTGTTCCCGTGAACGTCAACAAGGTTTTTTATTCTCTCTAGATGTTCTTCTGTTTCCCTTCTGTAGACAGGGATTAATACGTCCTCTTGATCAGTGGTTCTCACACTATGGTACGCCTACTGTTAGTGGTACATAGCTTCTCGCTCCACAGTAAAAGCCAGGCTAAGGGTGTTAGCAGCGTTAGCTTGCCCCAGGATCTTTTTTTAAATGAAAATAAAACACTATACACTAGTGTGGCACTAACTAGCTACACGCTAGACCAGTGCTAACTTGCTGCTTATTCACTATGTGCTAGCGTGATGCTAAAACGCCAGTATAAGCTACAATGCTAATCCAACAAACATGCTAAAAGATCATCATTTCCTTTTTTTTCCTCTTTTCTTTGAAAAACAGTGAACCATTATGTGTGTATCATGAAACAGGTTTATTAAATGTAGGTCTAGCACCACCTATAGGTCAGGGAAGGGGAGCTACATGCTCAATGTTGACATTTTTAGATTTCATGTTGTTTATTATTCAAGCTACATGCTCAATGTTGACATTTTTAAGAT